GACACTGCCTCTTGTAGTGATTCTCGGGGCCACCGGCACCGGCAAGTCCACGCTGGCGTTGCAGCTAGGCCAGAAACTCGGTGGCGAGATCGTCAGCGCTGACTCCATGCAGGTATGGCCGTGCGGCTGGCCCCGGGCCGGGGAAGGTCGCGGACGGCCTTCTGGTCGAGTGGACACCCTGTCGCTTGGTCGTAGAGGGTGAACCCCGAGGCGTGTGGAGACGGAGAGGGTAGTGAAGGGAACCCATTCTTAGAGGCCCACCATGTGCCAGACACTGCGGGCGTTTCTCCATCATCTCCTGAACTTCTACGACATTGTCGTTTGCTGGGAACTGTGATGTCCATTTGCGATGAGGGAATTCGGGCCTAGGGAGGAGGTAAATGACTTTCTCAGTTTTACGTGTTGAATAAGCAGAGAAGATGTACTTGAACCTACGAGGTTGACATATAGGCATCTAATAAATGTTTTAAGAATGAAAATTACTCTAGAGGTTTTGTTTAACTAGCCCTAAGAGCGAGACCAGGATAAATGTGGTACCACCGAGGCGTGGCTCGCAGGGAAGTGGAATAGGGTAGAGTGAGATCTGGATTCTACTCCGGAGTCTGCCATTGTCCACGTGATTAACAGCATCTTTCATTTGGAGGTTATCGTATTTGTAAAGTGGAAAAATGTCACCTACCTCATAAGGCTTAGTAAATGAGATCGTCAAAGTTAGACTGAAGAGCAGGTATCCTGTCCTGAAATGAAGTGTTTGTTCCAGCAGATTTTAAACCCTACTGGCCCGTCTGAGTTGAGGGGCCTTTGTCCTCTTTGAGCTTGGAAGCCCAGAAGGGCTGTGGTACCCATTGCTTCTGGGAACATTTGTGCTTGATTGAGAGTAGGTGACATTATGGATAAGTCTCTCTGATGGAGAAATTACAACATCTATTTGTTGAAGAGAACTTATAGTTACACATCTTCAGAGGACAAAGGAGATGGATGTTGGCTATGAAATGCCTGGCACTGAACCCAGCACTTGATGGATCCTCAGCAAGGAAGGGTAGTCCTTGTCCCTACTCCCTACTGCACCCCATCGTCCTCTGGGCGTGGTATCTTTTCCTTTTTGCTCCCAGGGAGGTAGGGGAGAAAGCAACCCCCACTGGAGCAAGGTCATGCCACAGTCCCTTCTCCATTCTCTATCCTGTCAGGATTTAGGACACACCCACATGTGCTTGGCACGATTCTCAAGCCACCATTGGCAGGGTTCAAGCCTGGTTAGCTATGTGAGATCCTGTTCCTTTGACCACTAAGTTATGGGGTTGGAACCCACCCCCACCCTGGCATGGTTTCTAACGTCATTAGTTCATTTAGGGTGACAAGACCATCAGCAACATGAAACTATAGGATAATTCAGCAAATATTTGCTTGCAGCCTACTTTGTACCAGCTTTGAGAGACAGTTCAGCTCAAATCCCAGTCCTGTCTTTTCCAGGACATGCAACTTCAGGCTAACATCTTCATGCCTTTGTTTCTTCTTCTGTAAAATAGAAGAATTAATAACACGTTAATATTTTGATGATTAAATGAGATAAAGTATGCGATGCACTTAATACAGTATGTAGCACACATGGCTAAGAATGTGGTAGCTGCTGTTTTTTTGCAAGGCCCTGTTGGAGAGACAAAACCATAATCTTTGTTCTCAGAGAGTTGTAGTCCAGCTACACATGAAATAAGGCAGAGCTAATAAGTGTTTGAGCAGTTATATTGGATTATATTTTGCAAAGTGGACAGGATCAAGAAGAGAGAGACTGTGTTAGATTTAAAACAAATTATTTAATTTAATTTAATTTATTATTATGATTTCAATTTGGCCAGAGAGAATCAGAAAGCAAAAGAGAGAGAGAAAGCAAGCCACCAGGTCTGGGACTTGAACCGCAGTTGGCCATGTGGTAGTCCAGCACCTTAATCACCACACCATCTGCTGGCCTCTGTAAGTGTTAGATTTTATGGTAAACTTTTTTTCTTTTTAAAAATTATTTTATTTTAACTTTATCTTATTTTAATTTTTTTATATATTTATTTTAATTTGACCAGAGAGGGACAGAGTGAGAGAGAGAAAGAAAGAGAGAGAGAGAGAGAGAGAGAAAGTGAGAAAGCAAGCATTCAGTCCCAGGATGGCCTTACGGGAATCCAGCACCCTTAACCACCATGACACCTGTTGGCCCTGGTAAACTATTAAGTATTATAGAACTTCTGAGAGGGGAGAAGTCAGGGAAGACTGGTATAATCATGGGAAGCTCTCCGAAACAGGGCTTGGAAACAGGTCAGACTTAAGTGGGTGAAAAAGAAGCAGATGCCTGTTGAGAGAAGGAACACGAGTGAAGATCCGAGGTGAGATGAGCATACTGTTCATAGGATGGTGCAGGAGACTGTCCAGCAGGGAGGTTTTATGGGGGCTTAGGGATGGGAGATGAACAGCACGATGTAGGCGACGGAAGGAGTGTTCATTTGTGAGCAGCATGCACAAGGAGTTGGCTTTGGGCACAAGGAGACAGGTGCAATGGGCATGCCCAAATGTCCAAGCGTGGCGTAATAGCAGATCTGTGGTCTGGGATTTCCGACTCCAAAATGGGCTTCAGTAAGATGGAGTTACACTGACATCCAAGGTCCACTCCAGTCTTTTTTTTTCCTTGTCTGTTTATTTCTTCTTAGACACACACACACACACACACACACACACACACACACTCATACTCACAATAATGGGTCTTTATACTATAGTGCAACCCAAGCCCCAGCCAGCCAACATCATGGGCATATGCGTGCATGCCCAGTATGTACAGCAAACCGGGAAGCAAACCCGGGACTTTTCCATGTGGTGTCAGCATCGCAGGGTGTGCCACCACCACTGCACCACAGTGGCTGGCCCGCTCCAGTTGTTACGTTCTATAATTTCTGTAATTCTGGTTGGTGTGGTGTTAGCAGGATGGAGGGGCAGAGAAAGGAATAACGCTGTGAAGGTGGTACGTTGTAATGTGAGTTGGTCACTGATTGGAGGAAGAAGAAAATGATGCATGCAGTGTGATTTGGAGCACATGTAGGTGCCTGGGAGAGTATGGCGAACCTAGGTCAGGAAGACCTTGCAGGGCGCAGTGGGAGTGGCAGTAGGCCCTCTAGGAAGTTAATAGCTGGGGAGAATGCCATGGACATGAACCCACTGCGTGGCTCTCACACGTTCCTTCTGCATCCCTAGACACATGACTTGATCCCTCTCCATTCAGGTTTTACTAAGAGGTCACACTACTTTTTTAAAATAATTATTTATTTAATTTTATTTATTCATTCATTTACTTTTTAATTTGACCAGAGGGAGACACAGAAAGAAAGAGAGGGAAAGTGAGAAAGCAAGCCACCAAGTCCAGGATTCGAACCATGGTCAGCCATGTGGGAGTGTACAGCACCCTAACCACCATACCACCTGCTGGCCCCCAGAGGTCACATTATTAATGGCTTTTCTGACTGCACCCTCCTCCCCCATATGCTGTATGCCATACATGGTCCCTGTCAAGAAAATGTTATCAATAAATCATCTTAAGTTTACATCTGTTTTTAAGTAGGTTCTGGCAGTGAGGGTGGATATAGGCTCTGTATTAGCTATAATGTACATTCTCAGAAATGCTTCCTTTTTTTTTATTTTTAAAGAATTATTTTATTTAACTTTATTTTTAATTTGACCAGAGAGGGATAGAGTGGGAATGAGAGTAAGAGTGAGAGAGGGGGGGGGAGAGGGAAAGTGAGAAAGCAAGCCACTAAGTCCAGACTTGAACTGTGGTCGGTCATGTGGGAGTTCAGTGCCCTTAACCACCACGCCACCTGCTGGCCCAATGCTTCCTTTTTAAAAAAATTAAAATTAAAGGACTGGTAGGTGGCGTGGTGGTTAAGGGTGCTGAATGACCACATGGTTGACTGCGGTTTGAGTCCTGGACCTGGAGGTTTGCTTTCTCACCTCCTCTCTCTGTCACTCTGTCCCTTTCTGGTCAAATTAAAATAAATAAATAAAGTTAAGTAAAATAATTGTTTTTAAAAAATTAAACATTTAAAGAAGTTTTTGCTGTGGGACCAGTACTTGGCGTAATGGCTGTGTTGCTGGACTCCCATGTAGTCGACCGTGGTTTGAGTCCCGGACCTGGTGGCTTATACTCACGCCAGGTGTATATGTGTGCATACCCATGATCCCAAGAGGAGACTGGAGGAGAAGGGATTGTGGCGTGGCCATCCCCCCCTCCCCTCCTGTGGGGTGTGTGATTTCTCACTTTCTGTCTCTCTGGCAAGTGCAGGTGCCCTATAGCAAAAACCTCTGGGAGAAAAAAAAAAAAGAAGAAATTTTTACTGTAGGGTGCCTATGCTTGCTGGTGAAGGACAGATAGAAAACAAAGAGAGAGAATATGAAAAATCACCTCCAGGAATGTCCCGACCCGGGGGGACAGCCGAACGGGTTTCCTGAGTGAAGGAGTGAGAGCCGGGGCAAGCAGCGTAGTGTTACAGCACGGAGACGACAGTGTCGTCTGTTTATTGTGGGCAGCACGGTACAGCACAGAGACGACGCAGTGTCACAG